TTTCTGTGGTCAGTTTCTGCCTTTTTGTGGTTGGTGGTTTTGTGTCTCTTTTTGGTGGTTTTTTGTTTTTGTGGTTGTTTTGCTTCTCTTTGGGGTGATTTTGTGTGTCTTCCTTATTTTTTTTTTTTTGTCCTTTTGATATAATTTTTGGGTTTTTTTGTTACAGTTTTGTGCCTCTTTTTTGTTATTGTGTGTCACTTTGTTGTAACTGTTGCTTCTTTGTAGTTGTTTGTTGTCTCTTTGTAGTTGTATTTCCTAAATTAGAAAATCATTGTGGATCTCTTTGTAGTTGTTTTGTGTCTCTTTGAGGTTGTTTTCCTGAAATGTATCTGCCTCTTCGGACATTTTGCACCTTTTTGTGGATGTTCTATGTCTTGGTAGGTACTTTGTCTAAATGTTTGGACCAAAAGGCCAAAAATAAATGAATTCCAGGATGAGGAAACAGTCAAAAACCTAAATCCCAACTGCACACGTGTAGAAATTATCAACAACAACACATGCATGATCTGTACAAAGAAAATCCAGAAACATGTCAAAGTACTTCCATTAAAAAGTTTCATATGATTTGTTTCCAAGCACCTATTTCGTAATGTTTGGCAGGCAGGTGGCGCTATATGCCAACATTATATTTATGAAGCCACAGAGGCTAAATCATTTGCATAACTATAAGGCCTGTAAAGCTACAGTAAGCCTGCATAGGAATCCCTCTGTCTGTAAATACATCCACACTTCTAATGACTGAGGTCTGACTTACTCACCCTACTGCTTCCATTGTCTGTGCTAATATGTTTAGAGGTGGAAGGTTTCAGCATGACGTAACACAGAGGGGGTAACTAAAGTGGACACAGTTGGTTTGATTTCAACATTCCAGATGTTCTATGGCAGTGATCTTTAATATCTAGCAGTATTTTAGAATCATCCTTTTCTTTCTGTTTTGTTTTTATTTAGCTGTTTACTTGTGGACCTTCTGATACATCTTCACTTTGTCAATTAACACTGTCTCTTCACAGTTTTTCTCATGTCCTTTGCTGCTCAGAGAAGAGTCATAAACTCAACAAAACAAACAACCTGAATTAGAAATCTCAAGTATTATTTTAAAGCTGGCAAACGATAGGCACCGTAAGTTACTTCCAGACAATGTGAGTCTATATCAGCAAAATCCCTGAGTGTACTGAGGTGATCAAGGGTTTGTTGTTTTTTTTGTTGATAAATTCAATTCTGAAACAGATTTATGAATTAATCACATTGTCTCTTTAAAATCCTGATGCAGGAACATAAAGAGTTGTACAATAGACTGTCACAGCACAGACAACCAGAATGTCAGACGGTGAATTGTTCCTATGAGCCTGGTACAGCTCAAGTCATAAAGGTCCATTATCTTCTGCTGCTCCAGAGGCCGGAGCCGACCTACAGTCCCTCTGTCCTGACAGCTGGTTGTGGGTTCTGTCCAACTGTCAGCGCCGGGTCTCTCTGTGCAGCTTTGTTCTGAGCTTCTGCTGGTGGGTTTGACGTGCTGGACTGTCCTTCCTCCTCCAGACCCACCAGCCTGCTGCTGACCTCCCACAGCCTGCGAGCTGCCTCCTCGTCCAGGGCCTGGGGCGCCGGTTCCTTTTCGGTCATCACGTCGTAGTACCGCCCTGTCACCGCCTCCATCTCCTCGGACACAGCCAGGTAGACGCTGGGCTGGGCCCCCAGCTCTGAGTTCTTCACCAACAGTGAGAAAAAGGGACCTGTGGAGGAGGGGCTGCTTTAAACTTAACACCAAACACTTTTTTTTCTCCCCAGAGCAGAGGATGTTTATTACCCCTGAGTTTAGTGGTATTAAAAAATAATCATTGCAGATTGCATAAACATGTATCCGCCAATTCCCAGAATGGAGACTGGTGTGCTTTGATTTCAGAGGTTTTACATGAGCTGTTACATAATTTTTCTGGGAGGAAGCTGAGCATTGTAGCTGTGGAGGGAAACCCTTGCAAAACGAACTTTGGTGATTTTTATTTTAAATTCAAGTGACGTACTACACGCTCTGACACTGGATACACATTTCAGGCACTTTACTTCCTATTAAAACAAATCAGCCACAACATCAAAACAACTGAAAGGTGAAGTGACTAGCATCGATTTACTCATTAAAACAGCACCTGTTCAGACAGAGGGATATATTAAGCAGCAAGTAAACAGTTCTTGGGGTTGATGTGTTTGAAGTGTAAAGATCTGAGTGACTTTGACAAAGACCAAAATGTAAAGGCTCCATGACTGGGTCAGAGCTTCTCCATAATAGCAGTTCTGATGGGGTTCTCTTGGTACAAAGTGGTTGGAAGCTACCAAAAGTGGTCCAAGGAAGGGTGACTGGTGAACCTGGGACAGGGTCCAGGGCGCTCAAGGCTCATTGATGCATGTGATGCAGTGAAGGTTGGCCTGTGTGGTCTGATCCCACAGAAGCGCTGCTGTAGCACAACCTGATAAAAACCCTTCATGCTGGATATGGCAGAAAGGTGTCAGAACACACACAGAGCATCAGAGCTTGCTGTGTAAGGGACTGACACTTTTAGTGTCCACTACCAAAAATGTGCACGAGAGCATCAGAATTGGACCACGGAGCTGTGGAAGTAGGTGGCCTGGTCTGATTAATCATATGCATGGCAGGATGCATGTGCGTCATTCATCAGAGAAAGAGCTGACAGGAACAAGGCTGACCAGTGGAGGCAGAACGATATTCTTACTAATGTTCTGCAGGGAATCCTTTGGCGCTGGCATTCATGCGGATGGTACTTTGCGTACACCCCTTCATGGTAACAGTATCCCCTGATGGCAGTGGCCTCTTTCAGCAGGATGATGCTCACTGCTACACTGCAAATGTTTTGCAGGAATAGTTCAAAGAACATGACAGAGTTCAAGATGATGACTTGAACTAGAAGGTTCTGGGTTTGAATCACAAGATCAGAGCCATTCTGTATGGAGTTTGACTGCTCTTTGTGTCGGCATGGATCCCTTATGGGTGCTCTGGCTTCTTCCCACAATCCAAAGACATGCGTGACAGACTGGTGACTGATCCAGGGTTTACCCGGCCCTCTGCCCCAAAGTCTGTGACCCTACTGAGGATAAAGCAGGTATAAAAACTGGATGGATAGACCTCTGATCAAGCATCTGCTGCTAGAAACAACAAGTCTGATCCATGAGGACACCACCTCAGAATTATTCAGACTCACAGAAGTCCATGACTCAACAGATCAGAGCTGTTTTTAGTGGCACGCAGGAACCCTACGCAATAATAGGCAAGTGGTTTTATTGTTGTGGCTGATCAGTGAACGATGCATTGTTATGAATAAATCAACTCAATGATGTAATCAAAGTTAGTTCCACAACAATTAGCTACAACAGCAAAATGCTTTTTACACACTTTGCATTATTAATAATAATATTGTTATCATAAACACTGGGGTCATCCACGTTTCTACCCAGTTTTTACCTTTATGACTTACAATAGATTTTGCAAAGAATACGTGCGAAGATGACAAAAAATTCAATACCACAGTTATGAAGCTAAAAATCAGTGTTTTTTTCTTTTCTTTCTCTTCATAGTTGTCAAGTTGAAACTTTGTGAATAGGAACTTTTTGTACGAGAAACGTGGCCAATTATTTTTGATCTTCTGCCTATTAATGAAAACAAGAATAGAACGTTCACTGAGAAACCTAATGTGCCGAGTCCACGCAGTCTATGCTAACTGTTGCATATGCATTAGGTAAGCGTTTATTGATTTCTCTAAATTCAGAATCCAGTCAGGACGCAGGATACTCACTGAGTACGGAGCTCGAGAACTGCGATTGGTGCATCCCGGTGTGCCTCCCGAGCTCCGTGGCAACAACTCCGGGGTGCACAGCATTTACTGTGACTCCTGAGCCTGTTAGCACACACAAGCACACACACACACACACACACACACACACACACACACACACACACACACACACACACAGTGCATTGTTTTAAAAATATATATCCAATGGCCAATTACAAACAAGCACATAGGCCGTACTCCCTCCCACACATGCCCACATATGCAACAGCCAGTAGACTTGCCTTGTAATCGCTTGGCGAGCTCTCTGGTGAACAGAACATTGGCAAGCTTGCTCTGACAGTACGCCTGCTTGGTATCAAACTTCTTCTTCTCCCAGTTCAAGTCCTCAAAGTCAATCTTTCCAACAATGTGGGCGAGCGAGGCCAGGTTGATCACTCTGCTGGGGGCGGACTTTTTCAACTCATCCAGCAGAAGATTCGTCAACAAGAAGTGGCCTGAAGGGAAGACAGAAACTCAGAATCAGTTAATGATGGAGTAAGGGAGATGTCACTGGGACGAGAAGGCAGTTCAGACTGTGGTAGAGAGTTAAAAAAAAACCAAAAAAAAAACAACAGGCACTTCTCTCTTTTCACTGGTTAAAGTATCCTGTGTGTTTCGTCTGAAGTAAGTACCTAAGTGATTCACTCCAAGCTGCATGTCGAAGCCGTCCTCTGTCTTCCCCTCCGGACACCTCATGACCCCTGCGTTGTTGATCAGCACGTCCACGCGCTGCTCCTCTGCAGCAAACACGACATCAGAGACACAGTTACCAAGCGCGTTTTATTTCTAGAACCGAACCCACGACGATCTATTTTCACCCTCACCTCGTTTGATTCTCCCCGCAAACTCTCGGACCGATTTCACGGAGGCCAGGTCGAGGTGACGCGCGTAAACGTGAGGATTCAGGGTCTTCCCACGTATTTCTTTGGCGGCCGCCTCGCACTTCTCCATATCACGACATCCCATGATGACCCGACCCCCTGACGGCGTGGGAGAAGAAGTGTGTCAGTGAGAGCAAAATAAGCGCTTAGAAGTTGTGCCTTTTTCACACCACATCATAGTTTCTTCACACCTCTCTTGGCCAGTTCTTTCGCAGTCTCTTTGCCGATGCCTGTGTTGGCTCCTGTTATCACCACAGTCTTTCCGTTAATGGTAGCTTTACTGGGACACCGGCCTCCAGTCACATGGTTTCTGTGAGGAGAATAAAAATACATTTGGTGCTATTCAAACACTTGAGACTGCAACACCTGCTATTTCAACATCAAAACCGCTTGTCACAGATTTTTCTCAATCTAAGGCGATAAATGAATCGGATCTCGCTTCTCTTTTTCCGTCTTGTCTGCCTTCTACTGCGAACAGCTGGAGTTACCTGTGAGCATTATATAACAGCCCGCAGCCCACAGCTTATCAGTCTGAAGCAGGGATTCTAAAAGACGTTAGTCGTGCCTTACAGAGCTCCTTTGATAAATCTGCATCGCTGTCCGGAAGATGTTTATGAGCACTGTAAGCATTACTACAGTCAAAGCTGAATCACAAGCTCACAAAAAAGAGCAAAACTGTTACAGCCCAATCTCTGTAGGAGTCCCAGAAACTCTACTGTGTTTTCTATTGTGTTATTTAGAGATCCCATATTGTATGAAAGTCTCACTTGTCCCCATAATATGTCTTTCTGTAAAGAGGTTTCATTTCACCATGACGACACAACTCCTGGTTTTAGTCCCGTTTAAAACAGGCTGTTTCAGTGTCTGTACTTTTAAATGCAGTACAGTCGCGGTTATCCACGCCCTCCTCAGGAAGAACACTCTCTCTGCATCTGTGAGTGCATGAGAGCTGACAGATGTGAATAAATGTGTGACACCAGAACTTTGTGCCGCTTCTAACCGAGCGATCATTTTACATGGAAATATCCCCAAAAACAAGAGCACAGCTGTTGTTTTTCACCTGATATTGTGGATCTAGAATCAGCATTTCAGTGGTGCAGAACAGCAGCTTGGAATTGGCTGTGAAGTGACAGCTGCAGTTTTGTAATCTCTTCATGTAAATGACGACAGCTTTGTTGAGAATTCGGCTGAATTGAAATGCAGCATATGTGACCAAAAGACCAGGAGATAAGTGAACAGATGTAAACATGGGCTGAGTTTAGGTTGTTGAGACGCACGACAGGTGACATGAAAACACAGTGACACACCCAGTCCTTGTTTACTGGTTTTGAATCAGTTGGAAATTTTCCATTATCTTCAAATAGCCCTCAGCTTTACAGTTTCCACAGAATTCTGACCTGTTGCCAGACGATCAAAGCTCATAGTAATGGTAGCCACAACAGCCACTCAATGCGCTAACACTGGGTATTTGCCTTTTGATGTGGGGACTTTGTCATTAAAAATAGAGGTAATCCACTGGATCTTCACTTCCTCATGTGCATAAAGACTCATGTTCACGTTTGCAGCCAACAGCAGGACATTTGTTGTGCTTTACTCATGGATGAGACCTTTTAAAGATAGCAGAAGCAGCTCTAAAAGGTAAATGAGGACATTTCTAGCTGGACGACTATTGGCTTGTCAGTTTCTACTGAACAACAGAACAAAATTCTGACATGTTTGTAAAGCAGGGAGGTCATCTAGTTGAGGTGGGGCTAGAGGACTGGCAGAGGGGAACATCTTCCTATTTACACAGCTTTTACTTGACACTTTCAAGTTTTTAAGACATAGGACACATGACCTTCAAAAACTTATTGACTTATTAAGTGTTTTCAATACTGCATCTTGTTGCCTTGTACTTGTACATGTGTAATGACAATAAAATTGAATCTAATATAATCTAACACTCACTGAACAAATGGTTGGTTGGGCTGAAGCACGGTGGAGCTTTGTTTAAAATGACTCCTCATCGGCCAACACCGTCTTGAGAAGAGCGAATCAGCAACGTAAATGAAAACTCCTGGTTCTGGACTCCGGCTGTGTAAATGCTTTAAAGTGGGTCATGCTTAATTAACAGGACGGTCTTGGAGAGGGTATCTTTGTCAACTAGTTTTAAGATGTTTATTATTTCAGTTTAGGGGCTGCAAGGTGGCACAGTTGGTAGTACTGTTGCCTCGCAGCAAGAAGGTCGCTGGTTCCCATCCCGGTGAGGACACCTGGGATCTTTCTGCGTGGAGTTTGCACACAGCGTGGGTTCTTGCCGGGTTCTCCGGCTTCCTCCCACAAGGTCCAAAAACATGTTGAGGCTAATTGGTGATTCTAAATTGTCCGTAGGTGAGAATGTGAGTGTGCTTGGTTGTCTGTCTCTAAGTGTAGCCCTGTGATAGACTGGTGACCTGTCCAGGGTGTCCCCTGCCTTCACCCTAAGGCGGCTAGGATAGACTCCAGCCCCTCGCGACCTTAGTGAGGATTAAGCGGTGTAGAGATAATGGATGGATGGATTTCAGTGTAGTATATTATCATCAACTTGTAGCTCCCTCAGACCCTCCGGCTTTAGCTGTTGAATAAAGCAGAGCATCTGAGGCTCATCTCATTTCACCACTTTGAGCCTCCTTGTGTCCTCTGTCCTGTCCTGACCCAGAAATCAACCTTAGCACGCCACCATGCATGAATGGAAGTCTCTGTTCCTAAAATGCATCCCAAGCAGAGACACACTCTTGTTTGTTACATCTATTTATACTTCACAACACATGAGTGTGTTCAAAGTAAAGAAATAAAAATGCATCACAGTTGTATATTCTTGTGAACAGAATGTGAACTGAATTAGAAGTAAATACTGTATATGCTGTAAGTTATGGTGAACACTGCAATGCTCATGTGACAGACATCATCAAATACAGCAGTGGGCTGTAATAAAACAATGGACAGATGATGCAGCTGTGCCACACGTCATATTTAATTGACATCGCTTTGAAACGACAGCTTCGAGGCAGAGATGTCGCATTCTGTTAAAGGCCTGCCACCTCGATTCCTCTCTTCTCGCATCTCCTCCTCTGCTTACGTCTCTGGTGGAAAGGACACGAGGAAAGGAGGCGAGGAAAGGAATCAAGGATGTAGAAACTAAGTAATTAGCTTAAAATACCGTCCATTATCTATACAATGCTTAATCCTCACTAGGGTCTTGGGTGGCTGGAGTCAAAATACCTAAAAATCTATTTATTTAGTTTGACTTTTATGTAGTGTTTTATCATTTTGTGGTTTTAGCATTAATACTTTTTTAAAATCCCCTCTGTTTCAGTCTATTTTATTTTAGCGACATTTTTCTGTTTTACTACAATCAAATCATTTTGTGTACACTTTGTTATTTTTGGTTGTATTACCTTTTATTTATCTTATTTAATTTTGTTGCTTTGGTTGACTTTAGTCTCCAAATCTACTTTTAACATCAAATGTTGTGTCAATCACTTGTAAAAGTGCTATAAATAAAGTTTGAATGATTGAAGGAGGGGGGGAGGAAGTGGGTGTTAATAGGGGAAAACACATCATGACACAGATAAAGACACAGAACAGGGGATTTGTTGCTTCTTTTTTGCTCTTGTATGAATCTCATCTTGATCTTAAAACTTTGGGCCTGATCTTTATAAAAGTGCATTTAGTCCCAGACATGATTGAAGACAACAAAAGTGGCTCATCGTGTCACACTCTTCTGTCTAACGGGAAATCAAAGAATTTTTCTGACTTCACACTAGCCTCGGTAACTGTGAATGGGCGAACAGAATATCATTAACACCTCACACCTACAATCTGTTCAATCAGTTAGAAAAGCTGCCTGTAAGACACATAAATATACAGATAAGCCAGTGAATCTGCACCTTGTTGTTGCACTGGACTGCAGAGCCACTTATGAACCATCTCTAGAACTAAACTAAAACACAGAAGTACATAAAGTTATTCATTCTCTTACATTCTCCAGGCTTGACAACTGTGACTTCCTCCTTTCTGGCATAAATCAAACACTTGTCTCCAACTACTTCAGAATGTAACAGCTCGGCTTTTTTGCTTGTTTTATCAGTCGACACCACATAACTAAAGTCCTGGCTTGTCTCCACTAACTTCCTGCTTGTTAAAGAACTGATTGTTAAGATTTTACTGATCACTATTGAAACATTTCTGGATCAGGCCCGAAACTACACAACAGAAGTCTTGATCTAATACGAGCCAGATTGGAGTTTTAAAAGTTTTAAGCCTGTCTGGCTGCTCCACGTTTTTTTTTTTTTTTTAAATCTAACCTTTATTTTACCAGGTAAGTTAATTGAGAACTGGTTCTCATTTTCAATAACAATCTGATCAAGAGGCGGCATACAAAAATCTAAAGGGCCCACCAGCTTTGGGACACCCTGCACATTTTCAGGTTCTTCTGCTTCTTTAAAACTCCTTTTATACGCTTGCTTTTATGTGATGTTTTCTCTCTACTACATACAGTTCTTTCTATGTATATATTTTTTATATTATTGATTTATTTATTGATTTTTTTTTTTGCATACATTGTTAATGACATTTGTATTGATTGCATGGTCTTCCTTCTTGTTTCAACTTTTTCTTCATTTCACCTTGATTGTTCTTTGCTTTGTTTGGCCTTACAGTTAATATTTTGCTTTCTGGGTTTCCTGCTTTTGCTTTGTCTGTCAAAGCACTTAGTGTTAAGTTATAATTAGTAGAGAAGAATTAGTCAAATGTTCTTTCGTTGTGGAAAGACACGTTATTTACAGTCGTCTTCAAATGTATTCATAGCCTTCTATTAAAGAAAAGGCAAAAATCACAGAAGTCACTCAAATAACTAGAAACTGAAAAAAGTAATAATAAACAAAAAATTTGCTAAATTATAATTTAGTGAAATAAGATATTGCTTTTGAATTGTGGTTGAAAAGAAAAAAAAAACTGTTCGGACAAATTGGCTCAAAGGGTTGTTCAACAAAATATTAGTTTATGGGTCCCATCATGCTTTCTTTTTTCTTTTTCTTTTTTTAAAACTTTATTTTATTTCTGTTGGACCACAATTCAAAAGCAACGTCATGATTTTCATAAAATTTTTATTTATTGTTACTTTGGTCAATTCCAACTTATTTCAGTGACAGCAGTTTATTTCCTTCTTTAATGGGAGGATATGAATACATCTGAGGATGACTGTATATTATGTTCATAACGTGATCTAACTGAGCTCCCTCACAATGTTGTGCATCCACTACAACTACTCTCTGATATTTTCTCAGCTTAAATTGAGTTTTATGAGCCTCGTATCAGCAGCAAATGTGGCACAAACAGTGTAAACCAGAGCTGACAGTTACATCACACATCACATCATGATAGGAGTTACTCACTTCAGTAAAACAGCGCATCCAAACACTGTCCCGAAAACAGAAACTGGTAAAATATATTTGCTCATTACTCCGGAATAGTGCTGACAACAAAATATACCTCAAAAATGTTTTAAAACATCTGGTTTAACAGTTCTACTGAGCAGCAGCAGTTGCAGCACAAGGTTACAGGCGCGTCGTTTAAACGTCATCAGCTGGTCTGACCAACCGCAATGAGCCAAACAGAGGCATTCTGGGTAATGTAGTCACACATTTTTACACATCGTTACGTGGAAGTGGACAGAAAAGTTAACACTTTTATTTATTTGTGTGGGTCTGTCAAAAAGCTGATTGATAAATTGATTTCTGATCATTATTTTTAAATCTAATATATGTGAAAGATTTATTAGTTCAGGAAACTTTATAAAACCTACTTAAATACATAGAAGCTATGCATTTATTTAATACCTTTTTCAAAGTGCAATATAAAATTGTAGCTCTACACCAACTTAATCTCACATTTTCCACTTTCATTACATTTGGCATTTCAAGACTGACCACTTTTTGAAACTAAAAATGCCAGAAGCATAAAATAAGTAAAGTAAAAATATAGGAGGGGAAAAAAATCAGCAAATTAGTGGCTATTGATTTGTGGGAAAGGGTGGAATACAAGTCCAATATATATGTAGCACCTCATCATATACAGAGGTTATCAATCAGTGCTTTATGAGGGAAAAAAGGAAAATATGAATACAAAAAAATGTTTAAAATACAACAACTAAAAGAACAGGCAAGTTTAAATCAGAACTTGAAGTTTAATAAATTAAGGTAGAGATGAGTATAATAAGGTAAATAGGTCAGTTTAATTCATCATGTAAAATAAAGTAGATAAAAGTGCAAGAGAAGCTTTTAAAAATGTATACAAACAAGTATAAATCAGGACCTGAAATAAAATTAATAAAAGTATAGTCAAGTTCAATAAAAGTATACAGAAAGGTTTGCTCATAATCTAAAATAAAACAAATATCGACATATTTTAAATTAGAATTTAATGAATTCTAAATGTGGGGAAAAAATTGACTACTTGGAGCCAGCAATAAAAGAAAAGCCTTTAACTTAAAAATCTAAATTTGAAGGGGATCTGATTCCAGCAGCATAGTAGCTGAAACCCATTTAACAATGTTCGTTTGGGACCTAACAGTAGCTGACTCGCCTCTACAGATCTGACACCGACCAGGTTTGTACTCAGCAAACATCTCTCTGATATATTTTGGACTTCTGAGCATTAAGAGACTTGGAGACCGTAAGTAGGGCCTTAAATTCTACATTGAACTGGAAGCCAGTGCAGAAATCTAAGAAGTGGAGTGATGTGTTCTCTCTTCTCGGTGCTTCTCTGTGTTCTAGCTGCAGCATTTTGAACGAGCTCCAAATGTCTAATAGTCTTAATGGGAGGCCCTGTCAGGAGTGCTTTAAGAGTTCACTCTGTCAGAATTAAAAGCATGAATGAGCTTTTCTAAATCTTGCCTGGGCACCAAGTTTATCATCCTTGCTGCCAAAATGATGATTTTGTTACTGCGTTGATGCAACCAGCAAAATGTGGGTCCTCATCAGTGATTACACCAAGATTTTTAACGTGGGTGTTGGTTTTTTAGTGCCCTAGATTCTTAGCAGTGAGCGCCAGGCTTCCTTTTAAATTGCCAAAAGGAATTATTTTTGGCAAAAAAAAAAACAAGATATGGCTGTGAGTTACCTTTTTTCTGTTTTTGGATTGTGAAAAAAAGCTGTGAAAAAAAAAAAGCTGTTGTGACTGCAGTCAGAAAGGCATTTTACCATAAGGCAACGAGGTGAAACCACAGCAGAGGAGAGCTGCAGGATGAAGCTGGAAGCTGCTGCTGTGGAGGGTCAGAGAAACGCCCAGAGGGGTGAGGCTGCTTTGTAGAAGCAGCAGCATAAGCTTGCTTTTCTTCTGTGCCAGGATATTACTCACTGTGTTCTCTAAACGGACAACAAAATCTTCCTACTGTACCTGCTGTTCAAAGCAAGTGTTGCAAAAAGTTTCCAGAGACTCAGTTGGATTGTTGACAGGGAAAAGTTGTCAAAGTTATTAATGCTAGAAAGTCTTTGTGCTTTTGTGCACACACGGAGATATGTGCTGCATCTGCAAAATGAGCTAATCTGGATCTTGTTCTACTTTCATCCCACATTGTCCACCTTTTCAAATGACAAAATCTATGATTAATACAACTCAAATTATGCTAGATTCAATTATTATTAAATTAACAAACACATAATTTGGCATTAGGACTTTGTTACGTACTCTGGTGGTTGTCCAAGAGAAAAATGCAGCAACTTTTTCTCTATTTGAAGAGTTCATTTGCAAAAACAGACAAACAAACTCCATTTTTGTAGATTTTCCGAAAACTTAAAATCAAACTGAAGTTGAGTGGATTTGACTCAGTAGAAATGACATGACAAAAATAGAGATAACTTCAGTTTGATTGTCTCAGGTAGATGATGGAAAAGTGGGTTTTCTGAAGGTTTGTGAAGATGGAGTTATCTGTTTTTGCAAATTAACTCTTCATTTTCTTCCTGTTGATCACAGAAAATCCACAGTTTCTAAACGTTATGCCATCCTAAATGCATTCTTTCTGCAGGTTTTGTAACCCTGCTCTAAAAACACAGCAGGATTAAATGAAAGTCTAATCTGAGAGCAGTTTCTTAGCTCAGAAAACGACCCACCTCAGCTCCAGGCCCCACGATGACACTGCAGCTTGTATTGCAGCCAGGAAACAAAAGTAAACTTTACATGATTTGAGAATACAGAAAAAAGAAAAAAAGAAAAACAAGGCCATCCCTTTGCAACAAGAGGTGGAAAAGTTTAGGTGACACATAAAAAGTGAAAACTAGGACGTGAGTCTGCTGTCTGCAGAAGTAGTGAGAAAGGAGGAGGAGGAGGAGTCCTGCTCTATTTGTTCACAGCTCTGAGGTGTGTCCCCCCGGTGTGTTTGACCCTTCATGCTCTCCGCTGTCAGCCCACAGTGCTTGACCTTCACTGTGATTTATGACAGCCCCGTTCCCACGATAACCCGGAGGAAACTCTCGCAGCCTGTTGGCCTGACTCTGCAGCGTGAGACACCTGAATGTCTCCAAGAGGTGCTGAAGATGCAGCTATTCAATATCCACCCATCTACCACAACACGGATTTAAAATAAAAAAAAACAAAAACAAAAACCCCTCAGGTCAAATTATTTAGTTTCAGGAAACTGTAAGATCGTATTCCCTTCTCCTGCCTTATTTTCAAGGCTTCATTCTTCTTCCTTTCCTGACCTTGAACTGCTTCCCAACAGCTTATCTTTCACTGTCATACAGCTTAAGTTTGCTGGAGAAAAAAACAAAGCTGACTAATTCCATGTGTGCTAAATGTGTGCAAACAGAGACTCTCATCCACACTTTTTTTAGACTAGCACCTGAATTTGCAACTGCTGCCGAAATGTATTCAAAACTCTCTCAAAGATGTTTTAGATCCCCTCACAATCAATCATCACTGCGAGCAACATTACATAAATTAAATGCCTTTGCATCTCTGATTGCAAGATGAATAATTCCTTATAAGTGGAAAGATGAAACACCGCCCACACATACTCACTGGATTAGAGATCTTATGCAGTTTTTTTCTGCAGCTAGAGAAAGTTAGATCCACCCTGATGTGATGTATAATGATAAATTCTATACAGCCTGGAACATTAAGAGCTGCAAACTCGATGCAGCATCTTGAGGAGGATTGGAGTTGTGCAGCAAGTCTGAGTGACCATGGTATAAGATATGTTTTTGTTTTACGTCATTCTATTTAGTCATTTATTCAACGCTTTGTCCAGATTTCTTCAGTTGATTTTTATGAACTCACGTGTTTTCTTTTGTGGGGTCATGTTCAAGGTTGCATCAGTTGTGCATACTGGACAGCTAAATAACAGTTTTCTGCCAGATTTTGTTTTTTTGATACTAACTTTTACAATAGTGCGGCTAGAAAAAGTACAATCTCAAAGGTATTCCCACAACTAAATGAAATACATGGTTGCAAGATGAAACAAAAAAATGTAATTCACCAATTGAGAAAAACTTTTTAAGTTGCAAACATTATTTTGATGGTGTATTGACATAACTGCATCAGCTTCATTGTAATTTAAACCCAAATTGCTGCATTTGTTAACTTAAAGCTAATTTAAAATGGATTTAACTTAATGAAACTGAGTTTAGGATTTCAGGTCCCCTCCTCGCTTAACATATCTGAATAATTATATCTGATTATTGTGTTTTAGAGGGTGTGTAGGCTGGACAAATACAATACAAAGGACAATTCAAAGGGAGCGCCATTTATTTTGCAAACAAATTCTATTAAAGTGATAAATTTGAGAATAATTTTAATTGTGATATGACTGATCGTGGACTTTTGCACGGGGCTTTGGCTTTACCTGTTCGTGGAAGTCATATTTAGTGGTGAAATTTGGCCATCCTGCCCTTCAGTTTAGCACAATCTGATTGAATTGGAAACAAGTTTCAGTTTGACTGTTCAGCTGGACAGAAGTTTTCATGTGTGCCACGGGGAGAAAAAGCTTCATTCAGTTTTATTTTCTTATTCAAGGAAGCGTCGTCAGCAGGTTCCTGTCTTACTGACTCGTCTTTTGGTTCCTAAATATATTAATTAAGTACATACCACTTAAAAATTCTCATTGGAACAGCTTAATAATTAGGAGTAAGTACTGGAGTGACATTAAAAACTTGGGTTTATGCTACCAATCATTAAATAGGGGTAATAAAAATACTTTTGAGTGCAGATGAAAAGCTAATTCCTCCAACTCTGTGTAGTTTGTTGGTTGAACAGAAATTCAATATAAGCTGTCAGAAGTTATTATTCTTTACTCATTGCTGTTATTTTCTAGAGTGCGGAAAGAAAAGTAAATGAACATAAGAAGCGGCTCCTTGATTTAATGCGACATCTGGAGTCTGAGGTAAAACCCAGATTGGAGAAAGTGCAGCATCAGTCTTTATGTGTTTTTCTGTGGGAATCAACCAGTCTGGAAAAAAAACCACCAGTCAGCCCATCTGATGATCTTTGATGAGGAAGCACTGTAAGGTTATCCCTGTTATGTCAAGGCTGTTTTCTACAAGTCCAATCTGTTCATGCTGGCAAACAGGTCTGGCAGGAGGCCTGTTGTTAAACATGTACAGTAAAGGGGAGCTGCCAGGCCAGTGAATTAATTGAAAGTCTTGCCTTGCTGTTACCTAATAAGGACAGTTGGCAAAGTCATCGTGTGAAGTCGACGCACTGGAGGCCATAAGCTGCTGAATTATGCAAGAGTGGAGCAGCTTGTTCCTTCAAAGCATGAATCAAAAGTAAGGAAAAAAAAAAAAAAAAGAAGAAGAAGCTCCTGGACACATTTAGGTTGGATGATGGTTCGGGTTGGGAGGCACTAGGACCCGGGACACGTGAGCGTATTAGTTAGCCAGAGGGTGGAGACGGTGAACAATGAAGGAGCTGACTGGTAGGACCAGCACAGGAGCAACATCTGAGACACCCTCCTCCTGAAACGAGCCCCGCCGGACCGACGGACAAAAACAGACGGACGGCAGGACGCGCAGCCGAGTCCAGGAGGAGTTTGGGAACATGTAGATGCGTCCGTGCGCGCTGCACAGACCACTGCCTTGCTTGAGTCCCCCTGCGTGGATGTGAATGAATGGGTTCGCCTCAGTGTGTGTGTGTGTGTGTGTGTGTGAGTGAGTGTGTGTGGTGCTGAACTGGGTCATGCGGACCACTGGAGGAGCGAAAGATAAACACGCAGCCTCCTCCCGCGGCTTGGCAGGTTGAGATGGTGGGCGCTCAGAGGAGGGATCCCAGCCTCGGCATCCAGCGTCAGATGCTGCTTTTCATTCAATCCGCCTCCAAAGAAAGTCTGAAGAGGAACAGGACAGTCTTTTGTCAGCTGTGAACCTGCAAGGTTTTTTTTCTTTTCTTTTCTTTTTTTTTTTTTTGAAAGAAAGACAGCAGTTTTTTTCCCTCTTTCTCTCTCAGCGCTTGCGAGTGACCGGAGGAGAAGCTTCCATCAGGGCGCATCAGAGCCGAGCGGAGCGCAGCAGCAGCTCTGCTCGCCGAGCGGATGCAGGACCATGGAGGAGAGAGACAGGTCGCCAGCAGGTGAGTAACACCTAGATTGCACCCCGAGGAGCCTGAAAACCGGGTCAGTAGACATGATACTGCAACCCTGCAAGGAAACAAAGATGAATGATGAGTTAAGCCCCTAAATATTGTTTCCTGCTTTTGAATGAATGAATTCCACTGATCCTGTGTAACTTAGTTTTGCCTGAACTTTGACCCACTCACAATAATATCCATATATGAATAATACATCTGCCTTTGCACAGCACTAAAGCCTCAATGTCAAGCTATTAATATACAGCACCACCGCTTTATTTATCATCAGGCTATGATTAATTCTAACTACTGAGCTACTTCATTTGCACCCACATTATTCGTGATACCTATCTGTTTCCCACTCTGCTCTGATAGATGGGCATCCGGTGTTCTACTCCACTTTTATTTTTTATTATCTTAATGGCCCCTTTTTATGCTCTGTCCAGGGCAGACAGGTGATATCTCATCCTTAATGCAGTCTAATGCATTTAAATGAGCAGCTCACTTGATAGAGCGAATCCTGCGTGAAAGCAACTCTGAATAATAGACTCCAAACAGCAGCACAAGGATTTTTTTTTTGCTTTTGACACAAACATTGTGTTAGTGTGAAGGAAGCAGCACAGAAGAAGGCTGGGATTTTTTTTATTTTTTGCTTTGGCAGAGCTGTTTTCTTTAAAGTTTAGACGAAAATCAAGAGTCAACATTGCTCTGTGAAGCAGGGGATCTGCAATATTGATCTGTGAAAACTTCGTACAAACAGAGCACCGCCTTTGCTGAAAGCCATAAAAACAATAGAAATGCTAATGTGGATTCAATTTCTAGAACTGATAAAGAAAAAAATCAACACAATGATGAGCCGCAATCTTTAATGAAAGCGGGCCACTGCGCTTGGTAAAGTGGGTTATTAACAGAGCCACATTGTCTGAACATTCTTCACAAGAACATTGTGGGTGTCCACTACTCTGAAGTACTCCTGCTAAAAAAACACAGAAGACAGCTGCAGTATGAGGGTTTTATATCAAACACCAGACACAGGCAATGACCCGCACCAGCTGGCATGCAAACTAAAACCCACTTTTGCCCCGAAAACTCAAAAGAAATGTGCAGTTTTTATGATGAATTCTGGCAAACTGAGCTTCAGTCTGGTTGTTGCACAGACACGGCTACTTGAGAAAGAATGTTGACGATTAGGACGCACAATTTTACCCTCCTGCAGATTGCATCCTAACTTGCCATCGTCTCGGTGAGAACAGCTGTCTAATGACTCCCCTGTCAATCAGTGCACATATTGTGAACCTCTGTATCCTTGGGTTATGTGAAAGGCGCTCAAAAACAAACACCCTCCTCTTATTAACATACAAACTAATGTGAATATTCAGTTTTTTTGTATTTTCCATTTGCCCTATTGTGGTTTTTGATGATTATTCAATTTTAAAAAAGGTTAAAATATGTTTGATTCATGTATGTTTTTGCTCACCAGTATACGTGATGGTTAACATGCTTTCGTGCAATTAAAGCATTGCTGAATTTAGAGAGAAATAAAGAGGAGAGGGGGGGCGGTGTTAGTGAATGCAGCCTCAGCAATCAACATTGATTGTGGTTGGAGGCTATTGTGTATGAGAAGGATAACAAATCACCATATACTGTTAGTTTGCCTTCAAGTGGGGAGAAAAAAATGGTTTTAAAAGATGCAACGTCCGCCTGAGCGCTGCCGTTACATCATTTAGCTACACCCCCATTTAGACCCCATTTTGCTGAGCTCCTATTAAGAGTCACATTTCCTCATGTGTTTGACATCAAAGGGGTGCAGCCTATGTGGAGCTGAGGAGGGGGATGCTTCAGTTCTGTCTCACTGGATTCCCCCCCACCCAACCCTCACTCTTCTCTCTCATCCTCATCACATGAAGCCTCCCTATTATAACTTGAGGTTACTGGATTGTGAGATTGTAATGGAGTTTGAGAGGGGGGGGCTTAGGTACAGTATGTTCCATGGGTAGCTTATTGCGGTGACTGATTTTTTTGCAGGACATCACAATGACGGAGATGGTGACATTCATAATCAGATGAGTGTGTGTACTCCCAAAGCCTTAATCCTGAACTACAGTAATGATGCATTCTGCAGCAGCATCTATTCTTGGTGTTGTTTTTCTTCTTTTTTCCATCACCGTAGCCACTTTTTCTTTGACAGTTGTCAACATTGTCCTTGTGGTATCATTCCTCGCAGCTAATCTCCTCTCTCACTCACTGTTTGGGAGCATTTAACCTTGGCTCGTCCCTTCCTGGGTCTTAGGTCATCTCAGCAGGAGGCGACTGCCCGCCAGCGTTTCCTCCAGGGTCTGTCAGCAGGCAGTCGCCCTCGAGGGGGGGTTTGTGACATACAACATGGAGCAAGGAATAATGGGAAGGGGAGTCAGGAGCACGTTATATAGCCCCAGCAGGGATCCTCCATATGGGCAGCTGGGCACAGCTGAGAGCGAGTGATTTGTCAAAATAAGAGTCTGTGGCTCAGGCTGCTGGTTCACCTATCAGAGCACAGCAGGAGCTTTCTTCATCCTGACGGAGGCGTGAAACCCACCGACTCAAGACGGCGATTCTGTTTTTTTTTTTTGTAAGCCTGAGAAGGGAACAGAGTGTCCTAACTGCAAGTGGCTGTCACGAGAAAGCCCATTTTGTTTAGATCGAATGATACGTGTTTTCATTCCACCCGTCCGTGGCCGAGACAACAGGGAATGAAATGCAGATGGACAGATTGGAACAGATACCATCTTTACGTTTTTCAGTCCATGCAGCTACTTTATTTTCCGACAGACAGCGAGATAAGCCACATCAGTCACATCGCATTTCACTCACTGGTTTCACTTTGACCCAGAGGCAAGGCGCACTGGGCATTTTGACAGTAAATTGGACACGAGAGATCAGTCCTCACCCATAATGACTCTTCTGCCGAGAGCAAAGCAACTAGTCCATTAGTAATAGAGAGAGGTAGGGACGTGAGGCAGGCTCTGCAATCTATTTATTTCTTTCATTAGTCCCTTGTTTACATTTTCAGGAACAGATAAAAGGGAAAGGAAGGAAGCGGGAATGAACTAAAAAGGACAGTGTGTGTGTAAATCTGCTGACTCTGACCTCCTTCTCAGTAATATATGCTCCGTGTGCATAAAAAAAAACATTTGATGGAGCGTAATAGCCAAATTTTCATCTTTTTACAAACCAAATCTCTGAGATGTGAATTTGTATTCATGCTTGAATCTTGCCCCTATAAAGTCTTTATGTAGTAATCAATGTCACGTCACAGTCCATTACGACTGTATCATTCGCACAGTTTGCACTGGTAGAAGCAGTAGCTCACTGAATGCACAGTTATTGTCCCTGATGAGTCCCATGTCAGTACGACGGATAAGATTTGCCTGCTTCCGAGCTCTGATTTCTAACAGTCGTGAGTTGTTGACATTACTACAGCTAATCCTTGTAGAACAAATAGATCTGTCGAGAGTGTTTCTGTGAAACTGTACTTACATCGATCAGCCACAACATTAAAACCACTGACAGGTGGCGTAAATAACATTGGTCATATCAGTACGAAGCAATGTTCTGCTGGGAAACCTCACATTTATTAACCAGGCATTTAAGTGGACCTACCTCAGCATTGTTGCAGACACAGCAACCCCCAAGGTGAAAGCAGTTGGTGTCCCCCAGCAGGAACGTGAGTCCTGACACATCACAACAACTGCTCAGGAGGAGCTCGAGGAACAAGACTAAGAGCTCGAGGCATTGACCAAGCCTCCAAAATCCCCAGATTCCAATCTGATTGAGCATTTTTGGGATGTGCTGGCACAAACCCGATACATGTAGGCCCCCCAGGATCTGCTGCCAACATCCCGGTGCCAAACACCAGAAGATACCTGCAGACGTCCATGTGTTCATGACAGTTTAGAGCTGATTTGGTGACACAAGGTGGACTTACACAATATTAGACAGGTGGTTTTAGAGCTGTGGTTGATCGGTGTAAACGCAGTGTTGTTTTGAATCAAATGCTAATATTGTGTGCTCTAAACATCAATGCTAATATGCCAATGGAATGTTTATCATGTAGACCACCCTATTTCATGGGGTTAGCATGTTAACACAAAGTGAAGCTGAGACCAGATTGTAGTTTTTTAAGAAATTAACCCAAAGTCTTAGGTCAAAGGATCAACACTATTTGAACAATTCATCCAGGGGGGAACACGAATGGAGATGTTTAATTCAAAACCACAAATACCAACCTCATGGCAGTGCGCTAAAGGAAAAGTGATCCTCTGGGAACCGATTAAATCAGTACAAAATTTCAAGGAAATCAACGTAACATGTTTCAATCTTAACTAAAGTGATCCTACTGACGTGCCGACATCACCACCCTTAACGAAACGTCTCTGGCAGGTCTAAACATGGAGCTTATCTCTTTCAGAACAAAGCCGAAAACTAGTCCTGTCGTCTTTGTGGAACAAGTGCCACCTTGATTCCAGAGTACGAGTTCAGAGGGTAGGAACACATCGCACAAGGCACATGTTGAGAGCACTCTGAGGCTGCAACAAGAGATACAGTTGCCAGTGGCATCACAGGCTTCATCTCTGCTCTCATCTACAGCTAAGTGTTTATAGAACAAAAGGTCAACTGCTCCTGCAGGTTAATCTTATGTGGGGACACGTGGAATCCGCCACAGCAGGTTTCCAGAAGCATTGTGTTGGCTATAATGAAGCAAAACTGCACGTTTTGCTTTTTTTTTTTCCCGGGAACAATGTGGTTTTAAGCGGGTTATACTGCAAATACACTTATCTTTGTTTGAATAATTGCTAAATGGAGCGCGATTATCAATCTGTATTTGCAGGGAAATTAGTAGCTGGAAGACTGATTGTTGGCTCAGCGTGAAAACCTTGTATCTTCCACCCCTTTTAGGAATCAGGAAGACAGGCTTGTTTTCACACTCTGAAATGTCAGAGGATTTTTCCATCAAACAACAAACAGAAATATAAACAACACAGGAACAAGCAGTCAGCTCAGGGATCTGTTTTTAAAAGGCTTGCAGATGATTAACAGCGAATGAGTCTTGCTCAAAAAGCACCCCCTCTAGACATTAAACTGTGCCTCGAGCCAAATCCTCATCTGTATGTGGAGCATGTGCAGGTTACCTTGTCTTTAGCTGCCTGAGAGGACAGCGGAGGGGCAGAGGGCAGAGCAGTGGGGCATGTGGAGGTGGTCGAGCACGAATGCTGAGTCGTGCCGAGCTCACAGCTGCTCCCTCTCGGAGGTGGGAACACAAAGGGCCTTTGATAGAGTGTCACCGTGCGACTGATACACCGGACCACCCCTGCCTCGCTCAAACACAAACACTCAAATCATCCCCCCAGAAACGGCATAACTTCATCCCCACACCTCTGTGGAGCTGTGCTGCACTTTCCGCTTCACATTTAACAGCGTCATCGCAGCTCCGGAGAGGACCTCCTTTCAAACCACTCATCACATTTTAGGACTCTTAATCCAGTTCTGCAAAGGAAACGGAGGAGGGGGAGTTGTCTTTGTGGGAGCTGAGTAATGTGATTAGGATCCGTGCTAGAGCGCTGCACATTCTGCCCATGGAGCCGACTGGAAGGAGCGCCAGTAAACAATCGCTCCCTTTGCTCCGCTCCCGTTCCCACTGATCTGGGCTGTGGGGCCACTCAGGGTGGGCGGTCAGAGGAAATGTGCTTCCAGTCTGTCTGTCTGTCCTCTTTTAAATGTTTAATCACCAAACCTGGAACACAAACCGGCCTGGACAATGATCAACTTTTTTGTGTTGACTCGCTGACGGCTATATACAGTGTGCACGCTCAGCATGAGTTGGCTACAATATTCATAGTGTCTTATATAACGATCTCCACGGTTAAGATAAAATCAAGAAGCAAGTGTTATCGGCAGAGATACATACAGTACACAGGGCATTCGTTCTATTTGCAGTCTTGGGGAATTTTTTTTCTCTCTCTTTTAAAGAAAGTGTTGAGCCAAGAACACAAGGCTGCAAATGGTCGCGTCTTATTTTAGTTCCCACTGTCTAATAGCTATATTTATCACACTCTTCCCAGCACCTTCCAAATGTCTCAACTAAACTTCCTGTTCCATGTTTTCACCAACTGTGCATTTGGTGCATCCTTTCTACTTTGATTCACCACAATGTACCCAATAGACACATTAATGATGCTTTTGTTTAGGAGTTTTGGTTTAAACCAGTGGTGCTAAAAAAAAACAAACCAAAAAAAAACAGGCCGCAGGAAAAGAAGAACGAAAAACAAGGCGGTTGACTTCCACTGATGGATGAAAAAGGCCATCAGCAAAATTGTTTGTGCTGATTTGGTGCCTATTAGTATTGTGCGTGTGCATGCTGTGCATGATTGGATGATTAAATCTGATTTCGCGAGTGCAAGGAAAGGGGGGCTGAAGAAAGACACAGGCAACGGTGTAAGATCATTAACGTGATCTGCTTCATTTCATCAAGAGGTCTGTTTCGTGCTCGATACTTTATTTTGTTTCACCATTTGCTTAAACACAGTGGCGGAGACATGCACAGCCACTCATCCCTGATATTTAATTTGCTGTCAGCGGTGTGTGTGTGTGTGTGTGTGTGGTTGTTATGTGTTTAGTGTGTCTGCCTCGGTCTGAGCTTGCAATTAAAGCAGCTATATCTTTACCCTCACAGGATCAGTTTGACCTATTTCAAACTTGGCACTTCTGGAAATCAGCAATAACTTCTCTGTTGCAGTATTTTATTTTTCTGCTTCAGCAATTTGCCCAAAAATACTCAGAGCAACCACAGTGCAACCAAATGTGTTTTCAAGGCAGAATAAAGCAACCCTCTTTTCTCATATCCCCATTAATTATTTCCCTGTATGAAAAATGTATGTGTGTGTGTGTGTATATATATATATATGTGATCAAATCAGAGTGTTCTCAGTTTATGTGTGGCTTATCTCAGCAGCAGTGTGTACACCTTGAGACTGCCAGCTCTGTCAGTTTGTTTCCATTTGTTAGTCCTTCTACCTGGTGTTATTGATTTTCCCATAGCTGTCTGCCAGTAAGTGCTGTCTGAGAACAGTCATAGCTGAAAGCCGGCCAGAGTGATCTAGACAAACAGCAGGAAGTCCAATACATTTACTGAAAGTTCCTCCCCTGTCGATGCCTTCCCTGAATTGATTGCATGGAAATCACAGTCCGTTAAAGCCTTCCTGATTTATCTGTCCTTTAGAGACCAGAAAATAAGGATGTGATGCAACAGAACAATCTGTCACGTCCACATACATCCATGTATGAACTTCATCCCTGACTCTAAGCAGTATCCTCCTGTCCTGTCAGTCTGCCCCACAGCGTCAAGGCGAGCCTGTCTCTTTCTCCATCTGGACCGGGACGGGTGGGAAGCGGCGGGGGCTCCCCTACATCCAAAATGGGCTACTGTGGAGGGGTGCCAGTGGAGGACATGCAGGCCTTGGCTATCACCTCGCTGTCGGCAGCAGATGTAGCCAAACAGTATGAGCACATCCGCGAGCTGGGGAAGGGCACGTATGGAAAAGTGGACCTGGTGGCGCACAGGACGCAGGGTGAGTTGGTTGAGGCGCTGAGGTTTTTAAAAGCTCTTTATCCTCTATCCCTGCCTTATTAATATGTCTTGACTGTCAACCAGCTAATAAAGCTGAAAAATTGAAACTTAGGTTTGCAGATTGCTACAATCTCAGCATCCACACTGTGCCAGCATGCCTCACAGCTGAGCATAACCAGTTAAGGCTGATCAGCATGCCGTAAAGTCTCAAGGCGCTGCGCTGAGAAATTAGCACAGCTAGAAGGGTTTGTTAAGGATTTTTTGAGGTTTACTGTTAAATCTCTGGTTGTAAGAAGGTTAGAGAGCTGGCTCAGTCTGACTGCAGTATAACTAAGCTTTGTAAAGTGGTGCAGAGCAGAATGAGAGGGGCATCGGGAATCTAAAGGGCTGCGTGAGCACTACAAGAGCTTCTCCAGATGTGATTGTGAGCAGCTGGTATCGGAGATGAGATTCATTGTTTATGTAAATGAACATAGCAGCTGTCACAAAGACAGGGTTGGGTAGTCAGAAATCTCTCCCCTCAGAGTAGGTTTTGGATAATGGAGAATTTTTGATCGAAAATGTAAGCAGTATCCATCTGATGTACAGGTTTAGTTTACCAGAGCTTAAAATGTGTTTGTCTGTGTGTTCTGCATGTTAATAACTTTTTTTTTCTTTTCTTAAGGCACCAAGATGGCGCTGAAGTTTGTTACCAAGAACAAGACGAAGCTCAAAAGTTTCCTGCGGGAATACAGTCTAACAGGCTCACTTAGCTGCAGCCCCTTCATCATCAAAGTCCTGGACGTGCTTTTTGAGACAGAGGACAGCTATGTGTTTGGACAAGAATATGCCCCCGCCGGGGACCTTTTCGACATCATACCCCCACAGGTAACGCTATCATTCTTCCTCCCACCAATCACCATCCTCACTCAGCCTGAGCTGCTCCAATCAGTCACAATGTTCAGACACGACGGTTTTAACAAGCTCTCCTGGGATAGGAGCCTTGTCTTCGTCCCGGTTTCTCTCCGTGCAAAGCTCTCACTTTGCTTTAGTGCTATTCCCGTTGATGTGCTGGGAGTGTTTGACTTCAAGGTTCTTCTAAAGACTCATTAAAAATGGTTGCAGTGGAACTCGGAACTGAGACTCTTTTGTTTCAGTTTTCCTTTTTGGGAGCGTATCATTTTTCATCCTGTACTTTCAAACCTCCACTCATTATAACATCGCCTATTCTTTTTAATGGTACTGTAACACACTCACCATGAAGTTCTTTTCCAGTGTCACCTCACATAGTCTATGAATCAAATCAAAATCAGCAGTTTTTCCGCTGTTGCTGTCTCGCAATGTTTTCTGTCACCAGGGCAGTGGTGGCTTGACAGTTGAGGCTCTGGGTTACTAATCAGAGGGTCGGGGGTTAAAGCTCCAACACCGCCAAGCTGCCACTGTTGTGTCCGTGAGCATGACCCTTAACCCTATCTGCTCCAGGGAGGCCTTGTCAAAGCTGACCCTGCGTTCTGACCCCAATTAGGATATACAAAAAGAGAATTTCACAGTGCTGTAATGTAATTGTGACAATAAAGGCTTCTTCTTCTTCCTTTTCTTAGGTGGGTCTGCCAGAGGAAATGGTCAAACGCTGCATGCAGCAGCTGGGCTTGGCCCTGGACTTCATGCACAGTAAAAACCTGGTGCATCGGGATGTCAAACCTGAGAATGTGCTCTTGTTCGACCGCGAGTGCCGTCGCATTAAGCTGGCTGACTTTGGCATGACCCGGCGGGTAGGCTGCCGTGTGAAACGGGTGAGTGGAACCATCCCCTACACGGCTCCAGAGGTGTGCCGCGCCAGCCGTGCAGAGGGTTTCCTTGTGACCACCAGTCTGGACGTGTGGGCGTTCGGCGTGCTGGTGTTCTGCATGCTGACGGGCAATTTCCCCTGGGAGGCAGCTTTGCCGGCCGATGCCTTCTACGAGGAGTTTCGACGTTGGCAGAAAGCCGGGTGCCCTGTGGGAACGTACCCGTCTCAGTGGCGTCGCTTCACTGACGATGCTTTGCGCATGTTTCAGAGGCTGCTCGCTGCTGAGCCGGAAAAACGCTGCGGAGTCAAAGACGTCTTCTGCTTTGTCAAGTACGAGCTGGTCAGTGAGCTCAGGCGCAGAGCGTCTTGCCGAGCGAAGAGAGGCGAGAGGTCGAGCTCGGGAGTGTGTACCGGCAGTTGTGCCTCCTCCTCCTCGTCCACCACTTCACGTTCCTCCCACAGACACCCTGAGCCCTCCACCCCACCGGGAACATCCTGCCTGCGCCCAGCGCCGCTCAAACGTAGTGTCCTCTCCGACCCGCTGTCTCCCAGAGAGGAGTCTGGACAGCACCAGTCTCCAGGCCGAGACAAGAACAAAAGCCAGATGGTGATGGCAACAGCCATTGAAATCTGTGTGTGACCATACTAATCTTAGTGCTGGAGATAAGATGGCTCTTCACAGGGATAACAAGCTGTGAAGAGGTGTTAATGACTAGCACAGAGGACCCAGTGAAAAAGAAGAGGTACTTTAACCACAAAAGAGAAGCTCAGGATCCCATCCCAAGCTGTGGAAATGGACATCATCAATCAGTGGTGCACACTCGGACAGCTTATCACTGACATTCAATGCCATTTAGGTTTTGATTTGTGACCAAAGACTGCTTCCCAAGCTGAGAAGCCATGCAGGCAGCGTCGAAGAGTTCGCTGTTGCTCCACCAAGCAGCTCCTTCTGCCATCCTGACATTTGTGTTTCCTGCCCATACACTGTGGTGGTGCTAATGATTCTATAGTTAGATTCACTCCATGTCTCTATGCGTTAGTGCTTATTTATCTCAGAATATTAGCTCTGGGAAACCTTCATCTGATCAGGTGATGCTGCTCAGACTGAGGCTGGTGAACAGAGGGAAAACTACGCAACTGCCATTTCTCCGACTTCCTGCCAACTTCCGATGCATAAAACTTTTACAAATATAAAAAGAAAAAGACGTTAATGTAGCAGTTTGTACGAGACATCGTTTCATGTAGGTGTCTGGACTGAGACTCTCAGTGATAGGCATCAACTCAGGACACTCCAGTGGGTCACTTCGTGTTTCATTATTAATGGAAATCTATTGAGTGGATGCGAGAGGCATCTGCCGCTTTTGAACTGTTCTCAATGAGATTCCTCTCCAATTAAACACAACAGAATACAGGGATTGTACATTTTCTGAATGAAAAAAAAAGGTATTGAACAAGGAAGAGGAGAAGAAATGTCTTTTTATTGTTTCTTTTCTACCTGCTGTGTGTGTTTTGGACGTGTATGTGTGTTTCAAATGCTAAAGCACAAGATTTTTGTAAAGGAGGACAACTCTTAGAGTTCAACTATGTAGCTGTACTAATTTTCTACGACGGGGAAAAGGGGTTTTAAAGTGACTGTCGGGGTAACGCACTGTATGTAGCAACAAAATATGACAGAATGTACAGTCTATCACAACAAATTAAATGTACAGATATATGATCTATCACATTGTATAACATTGTAGCAGCTGCTGCTCTCCTTTTTCTTTTATTGGTTTTATCTCAACTGGATCAAGTTTTTTTTTTTCTTCTTTTTTTTTTCCCACATGGGACACACAAATTGGTGATAAGCATCAGTCATTCCTGCAATGTCCCGTCACTGTAAATCATGAACAACATCCATTTTCTGTGTAAAATAATCTTCCTGTTGAGGCTAATGAGGGCTGCTGTGCAGGTCGGCATGTCGGAAAACCTGCAGCTCCTTTGCTCACCTTTAATTTAATCTTCCTTCATCTCTCCGGGAATTTGTCCAAATAGCAGAGCCCAAGCGGTTGTTGTCTGTGTCAGCCATTGGCATCGCATGTGCTGTTGATTGATCCTGGCGAGCTCCAGCTTCCATCAATGTGAACGCATCTTAAAAAAAACAGTACCTTCGGCGGGAAAGCTCCTCACCGACAGTTTTCTCGCTTGAATTGCATTACTCTTATGTCACTCAGGTGTGCATCTGTCCACAGGATGTATGTGTTTATGTGTGCATGTCCTTACTTTCCTTATTTCCCAAACTCCTCCCTTGACAGCCCATCACCACTGTCGCCATAGTGACAGTACCGGCGCTGCCCAGGTTTGGCTCCTGTCCTCCTCTCGAACATCAAGTCTAATTGAGCCCAAATGAAACAACTGGTCACCAACCCCTGCCCCCCCCCTTCTTCCTGGCTGCCATCCACAGCTCCTCATGACAGTTACTTAGCTTATTATACTCGATGAAGCATTTCACACTTTCCTGCGTTTTATGAGTAATTTTAAAGTCTTTATTCGGCCTCATCAGACGTGATCATTTCCCACGTCTCTCTCCATCCTCACTACTCTGCAGAGGTGACCTGATTGAGGCTGAAGCCTTGTCAAAGGAATGTATTGTCTGCTGAGATGCTGGCTGCCTCATAGGATTTGTCAAGAGGTAATCCTTCAGTAGACTGTAGTGAAATGTGAATTAGTCCTGCCTTACAACTTACTATTCGGTCTATGTGATAATGTCGGATCTACGTAACAGAGAAAGACGGGGATTAGATGGACCCTCAGACAGTGCGCATAAGGTCATGTAAAGTAACGCAAGTCAGTTTAACTGAATGCAGCAATTAACTGGAATAAAATATAACATATTGCAAATTATTTATCTTAACGTTACATGATGCAACATAACATTAACTTACAGAGTGTTGTTGTGTGAGCAGCTGTTACTTTGTTAAAAAAAAATCGGAGCCATTCGCATCATTAGACTCCTCTGAATTGTTAAAATGTGAACTGTTGTTCCTCATGGACTGTTATGACAGGAATTGTCAAGTTTAATGATGAGGTGTCAAATTATACCAAGTTTAATTTAAGCTCTAGAGAGAGTAGCTTTCCTCTCATCCAGTCAGTTTATCCTGATCCAATGAGGAAACTGTTTTTTTCTTTCTTCTGTCAGCAAATCTTGTTGTAGAATCTTATGTAAATACTGTACGTATTGTGTCTTTAACAAAAAGAGGAGGAAAAAAGTATAAAAATGTTAATATATGTCGAAATAAATTTATGCACCACATCCCATGGCTCCTGGGTGTTTCTCGGGGTAGTTTCAAATACGGGGGTATTTTTTTTGTTTCTGCCACTGCAAGCAAAGCTTATTCAACCCAGCTTTGTAAGGTCCCCTGACCATTAGATGAAGGTCAGCTTGAATCGCATGTGATTTCCCAAGGCTTTGGCTTTCGTCTGGTTCGCCAGCGAGCCCCCCAGACTACTTTAATATGCTGACTTCCTTCTGAAAAGCCCAATTAACACATCTGTAGATAGGAGTTATCTGCTGCCCTCAAAGAGCAAACGAGTTCAAGGACGGTTGGAATATGGCACCGAAGATGAGAGCAGTTATCGGCCCACCACCCCTTCGTATTGCATCTCGGCCGTTGTGTAAGAGTGGAGGAGTTAGCTCAAGTTGTTATCAGGCTGAGTTTAGACAGTGGCGGTAAGCGGTGGTGTATCTGCCACTGAGAAAAGCTAATCAGTTCAGACAGTGCAAGAGAACGGAAAGGTCAACCATGACACACGGGGCATGTGTAGTGAGTGGAAGCTTGTCCTTTGTGATAGCCTCTTCTCCGCCCTTAAAGGGCTACAGCAGCCCAGTGGCAGTGTAAAGGTCCTAATAGCTGCGACGCAGACTGAGCCGGAAAATGCAGGAATTTGATGCGGGCTACACAACACAAGACATTTTACTCGACAGTGACTCATCTGTCCAGAGTTTGTCAGGTCAGCAGTGACCTCTGGGGCTGAAAAGTGACGCCAACACAAGGTGCCAAACAACGCAGTTCCTCAAATGGCCACACGAGGCTGCCTCCAAAAGCGAGTCAGTCCCCATAGACTTCCATAGACTCCCATGTTAAAATGTTTTACATTACAGCAGAAACACAGATGTTTACAGCTTGGTACAAACACAGTTTTGATCCCTGTAGGTAAATTTCCCATTCATGACAGCTGTATGCAGGTGAATCTTTGTATAACTCACCAGTTTAATTTGTATTAAGGCTTAAAGTTATGCACAATTAAGGGCCTGGCAGCTTTGACAGAACAGTCTATGGTCCAAAAATGTTTGCATGATTCACCTCAGATCCACTCACGCGCTGCTGCTTTGCTCATTTTTGGATAATCTGGGAATTTGGAGGAGTCATGCATTGCCAAGATGCTGGCAGCTGGAACTTCAAAACTGCTCTTATGAAAGATGTGGGTGACGTCATGGAGGGTTCGTCCAACTCATGCAATGCTCACGACTTGTTACTGTTGTGCTTTTCTTTTCGATGTCTACAAAAACCAAGGCTGGAAACCAATAAGGCTGAAGAAATGTAAAAAAAACACTAGAATGTGAAAATATGCAGTCTATCTCCTGCACCTCTTTCTTTTCTAAGCTCCTCCCAGCAGATGAGCACACGCCTCAAAGGTAGTCAAGCTATTTGGCAGTATTCACTTGTGGCTTCTATCTATCTCATCGCACCACCAAATCCTTCTTTCCACATGAACTTTGTAGCTTTTTTTATACTATCTCAACTGCTCTGAGGGAAAAGATTGGCCAAAATCATCCATCACACAGGAGCCGCAGAGGTCTAGTTTCCTCCAACCCTACATCAATTACAATATGCAAAAAAGGTTAGCATATCATATTTTCCCAGCGATGCCACAAAAATACTGCCTACTCCAGCTTTAAGTAGGAAAATATGTTATTTTTCTGACTGGGATGAACTGACCCTGCAGCACTGCTTGCTTATTCCTTAGCTGCAGCTTTTAAAAGGCTGCCAGCTAAACCAAATTGAATCCCAGGACTGGAGACGGATGGATGTTAAGCTTTCAGTAGGTGGTCCAGGAGCGTGGACAGCTAGGGAAGTGATCTCCCTGGATGCAGCTGTCTCCATGAGATCAAGTGTTAAATCCTCTTCGGTTATGCTCTCTCAGCGAGGGCTAATGTCGGTAACATGAGGTGACCGTGTGACTGACGGGGGGGGAAGACCGCTCGCTGTCCTGATTCCTGTCAGCGTATCTCAGTTGGTAACTACCAGGTTTCACGTCTCTGAAACAAACAAATATGACAAAAGTGGCACCAGAACCCCGTCCTCCGAAAAAAAAATCCCAGCACAACTTTATTTATATCACAGCATGAAATGTTTGGTAGAAAAAAAAAGAAGAAGCTGAAGCTGCCAAATCCTTGTAGTTTTGCTGGGCTGTATGAATCAAAGGAAACTTGAAGAAAAATAAATAATTCAGGTGCTCTTGCAGCGTACGGCAAGTGTAGCTGAATGGTTTAACATTTTCAAAAAATGTACACGACACGAGTTAATCCTGAAAGTTGTACGCGGTTCGATGTAGTTTACGACCTGGGACAAGGAGTGTTCAGCTGTAACGTGGAGCTGC